AGCGACGACGGCGAGGACAAGTTGCAGTCAGCGAAGTATTTGCCGGTGGTCCCCACAACGCTCCTGTGCGTCGCAACGTAGCAGGTCGTTGCTGCTGCCTGCGGTGTACCCGACCGCTTTTTCTTAGCGTCCGTAAACTCAAACGTTTGAATGAATTAATTAAATGGATTAGTTTAATTTTAATTAATGGATCACCTGAGGGATTGTTTTCAGCAGCTTGGACAGCAGAAAGAAGACCAGATCTGCGAATAACGATAAATTTGTTGCTATTGATAAAATTAATTATATTTAAATTTCTTCTTTTTAAGTTTTAAATTTGTTAACAAACCTGTAACAAATCCTTCGCGGTCTCGGGTGAGGCGGGTGCGCACGATACCAGGATGGACGCAGTTAACCGTTACGTTCGCTCCCTTTTGCTACAAAACAAAACACAAAACGATTAATTAAATAATCATTAAAAAAAATTTGACGATGTCTTTATTAGGAATATAATCATTAAGGCTCTGTTTGGCAAAACTAACTGAAAGCTACGAGATTATAACTAAAAGCTGTTAAGCTAGCTGAAAGCTGTGAAATTGTAGCTGAAAACTGATAGCTGTGTAGCTAGCTGATTGACTAGCGCTGTTTGATAAAAGTAGCTGTACAACTAGCTTAAATTTGTTAAATGACTAAAAAGAACATGCAATATTATTGATATAAAATTAGAATTATTAGGGACAAAAACGAAAGAAAAAAATTGACAGCTTATTCCTAAAAACAAACGCTACTTGAGGTAGCTTTCCAAAAGCTACTTGCAAAAGACACAATCTTCAAAATAATCTTTTCTTATTTTTTGTCACCAAACATCTCTACTAGCTTATTGACCAAATCAATAAGACACAATCTCTTAGATAAGACACAATCCCTTGTTGACAAACAGTGCCTAAATATGAAAATGCCAAATTAAAAGATTGCTGAGATGAAAACCTTCAATCTGTTGGCTAGTTCTTTGGTATGGAGCACGTTAGCAAGCTTGGAGAGCGCGTACGCCTGCGTCGCATCGTACGGCCTGCAGTAATAAACTTAATCAATTACTCTGTTAATTAATTTCATCCATGAATAAGAAAATAAAAACAGAAAATAATAAAAAAATTACGGATTTGCCCTCAGTATAATTACATTTTGTTGCGGGTGATGAGATCGAGGTAGGAAATCCAGTCGCCGGAGAACCAGCCATGGATTCCCGATGAGACATTGACGATGCGTCCTTGGATACCGGTGATCGCGGCCGTCTTGATCATTTTCTCCAGTAAAAGCTTAGTAAGCAAAAAATGACCTAAAATCAGAAAAAAATTAGAGAAACTAAGATAAAATAATATAATTAAAAAAACAGAACCTTATAGAATAGAGAAATAGACAGAGAGCTCCTTGATCCTCGCCTAAGTAGTTAGTTGCAAAGTTCATCTCGATTCCGTCCTCAGATATAGCGTGCTCGTGCGAGAACTTTCCCGCGTTATTTCTGCAGTGTTCCATTTTCTTCTCAAACTTTTTTCCCCATTTTTTTTCTAAATTAGAGAGATAAATAGAGAGAGAGAGAGAGAGAGAGAGAGAGAGAGAGATGGTTTACTGCGTACATGAGGAGACTAAGGGGGAGATCAAGAGAGAGAAACCGGTCGACAAATCTTCGAACAGATGCCAGAGAGCTAAGATCAAGATGAAGAACGATGATATCGGATCCAGGAAACTCGGATCGGATCCCAGCTTTCATCTCCTCCGCCGCTTTCACGCTTCTCGCCGGCAGAACCAACCTCGCCCCTCTCATCGCCAGCACACGTGCCGTCTCCGCTCCTATCCCTGAGGTAGCACCTGCACCAACAAAAACCTCCAGCGCTCAACAAACTTTCCAAAAATAGCAAGAACCTCGGCAACGGAAACCCTTGCTATTTGAAAGTATTTACAAGAAAGATGAAACAGAGAAGTATAGTTGTGGATTTGGATCCGAACCCGCTAGCGCCGGTGGATCCGATAAGGTACTTCACCGTCTCGAACATTTTGTTGATAATATAAATATATAATTTGTTAGGGTTTAATGAGATGAGAGAGAGAAATGAAAGCTTTTGGTTGCAGGAGCAAAGCCTCCGAGCTAGTTCTTGCGTAGCGTCAGGGATCAAGGGAAAGGCGCCGCACCACCATTTATAGTTAAATAACGAGCAATAAATAAATAAAAGGAGAGGAAATTATAAGAGAAGATTGGAGCATCTTATTAGACTGAGGGAGAGGGAGATAATTTATTCATAAATTTTTACAATAAATTAAAGAGGGAGGTGGGCCATGGTTACGTCCTTTTCCGTCAGCTAGAGAGAGAATCGAGGTTCTTCTCCTTACAAGATTCCTTCGCTATGTCCTTGAATAACGGATTTAGATTAGGAGGGTGATTTAGCAAATATCAATCTAGTAGTGTTGATTCTTAATATTAGTGATTAAGCCAAGCAATATTGTACCGGTGAACATGTACATTGTGTTTGATTCGAGAGCAAACTGTCAAAGGCATTTTTAGGCCGGTATCACTAGTTCAATGAATTAGAATCGTCTAAGATTTACTTAGGAATTCGATTAGAAAGGTGATATAGTAAATATATTCTAATAAGTTTGTACAAGTGATTAGTCCAGTATTGTACTGATGAACTTGTACATTATGTATGATGTACTCAGGCTCAGGGTAACTGTAATTCTTATGCAGTTTCAGTCCATGTTAAATCTTTGATCTAATATATATTTATTATAATATATATATTATATATTCAATATTATATAAATATATCAATATATATAGTTATACTATGATACAGAGAAGAGAGAGAGAGATTAATGGGTAATCCTTGTCATATAGAGGGATTTCCTGCCTATGACAGCCTCCTAAAATACACATGATTGCGAGAGACATAAATGGATTGATCCGCATCCGTTGAACCTTGATTCTACATATTCTAAAAAACCACAACACCCAATTTGGGGTAAATCCGTAACGTCGTTTGACACTCCATCTGAGCCATGGTGAAAAGTTCTATTCAATATCCAAAACCGTTAAAATTGATAACGATGGATGAAAGGGTTCAAACGACGAACAGGTTACCAACACTGGTGTTTTGGGGTTTTATAAATATGTAATCAAGGTTCAACGGATCGGATCCATCCACGGAATGCAGTCGCTCGGGCATCATCATGTGATTTGTAGAGCGTCATGGGGAGGACAACTCCCCCCTATGACAAGGAATACCCAGTTAAATCTCATATATATAATATTAATATATATAATAATAATTATATATTATAGTAGAAGAAATGGAGAAACCTCTGGTATCCTCAAGTTGCTTAAAGCAACTTGGTAGTAGATGATGGCTAACTCATTACCGCACTACATGCACACCGATCGAAGATAAGCCTCAACCACAGCCCTTCACGCCAAATCCAATGTAGATGATAAGGACAATTATTAGGCCACACTCACTACGCAGATTGCTTGGAGCAACTTGGTACTAAGTTTCTCACCATTTTCTGCAATATAATATATATATATATATATATATATATATATATATATATATAATATATGGAAGATTAATGGGTATCCTTTGTCATGGAGGGGATTTCCCTCCTTGTCGCCTATGTGGCACACAATCTCGCACCATCCTCATAAAGTAGGCACAAAATATCCAACAACTCACATTCTCTCTCATACTTTATGAGGATGGTGAGGATTGTTAACACATAGGCTCAAGGAGGAAATCATCTCTATGACAATGATACTCATTAATCTAATATATATATATATATATATATATTATATACGTCTATACCCTACATATATTGCCTATTATGCCCAATCCAATCAATGTACAAAGGCCCCCTTTAGATTTATAGATCCCAAAGAAATATATGCTACCAATTGCATATCAACTTTTAGCATAGGGACGATGACAAGCAATGATTAGAACAGCATCCTGACAACTTACCCCTCCTTCCTTCCTCTCTCCACTGTCTTGTGTCTATCCACAGAGCTCTCCCCTCTACACAATCTGATCTCTGATCTGTACTCCACCGACTCTTATAACTAACAACGAACTCACCTGCTTCATTTTGCATCCCACTTCACTCACCATTAATCTCAATGTTTCTTACATTAGCAAAATAATTAATTCTTAATTCACACCTTGATTTCGAAGGTTTTGATGGAGTGATACAACACTTTGATATTGAAATGGAGAGATTCAAATTTTACCAACCATTAGTTTATAGAAAGTAAATAAAATAAATACTTTACGGATGCATTGAAACAACGCTCATTTAAGTACGGGAATAACCCTCAACCCTAAGCTATTGCTATATATGTTTGAGAGTTTACTCATGAAGAGGAAGGGAAAAAAATGGGAAGGTAAACAATATAAATAAAAGAAAAGGAAGGAGATGGTAAATATAACAATCATGTTTGGGAGTTCAGTAAATAAAATGGAGGAGAATCATTTATTAGTTGTTCGATTTATATCATGAAAGTACAAAATAATTTACTTCCTCTACACCAAAATTTGGATGAGAGGCAATTATATAGAATGGAGATTAAAAGATTGTTACTTCCCTTCCCCTCCATTTCCTTTAACAAAAAAGGGCAAAAATACCAAATTGTTATATTTTGTTTAACCTTAATGACAATTTTGTATTTTTTTTCCGGCGACATTTAGGTATATTATTTGTTCTCCGGCGACAAATGGCCTCAAATTTGGTCGGACTCAAATTTCTAGCAAAATTTTTCACGTGACGCCTCACGTGATGCGAACATGGCTGCCAGCGTGGCTCCCAGTGACAAATAATTGTAACTAATCTCATCCAAAACTATCCCGTTCTCCCTAAAAAAAACCTAGAAATGAAGGTATTAAAGCTTACCGCATTGAGAGTCAACGGAGGATTTGAAGAGGTTGAAGGTCTAGAAGGCGTCGGAGAGGCAAGAGGAGCGGAGGAGGGAGGAGAGGGAGAGGTGAAGGAGGAGGAAGGAGGAGATTGAGGGGTTAGGGTTTGGGATTAGAGCTGATTTATGAAGTCACGTTGGCAGCCACTTCACATCACGCGAGGCGTCACGTGAGAAATTTTGCCGGAAATTTAGGTCCGACCAAATTTGAGGCACATTTATCGTCGGAATAATATACCAATATGTCGCCGAAAAAAATATATACCAATCTGTCACTAAGGGTAAACAAAATATACCAATTTGGTATTTTTGCCAAAAAAGTCACAAGCAATGCAAATTCATTTAACTTCTTTTCTCTACCCATCATTCACTACCGTCCAAACAAAGCATATGCTAATATCTTAGAGGCTATTAATTTATAAAAGTGAATTTAAATAAATACTGCTACATAAGTAGATCAAAGAGACTCAACTTGCAGAGGATGTTAAAATAAAAAATGTTAACCATCAATCATGAATATTTGAGCATATTTCACAAATGGTCAAAAGTTGTTTGTAAGCCGCTTTCGTGGCTTATAAGTCGTTTTGAAAAGTTTCTTATGTTTGGTAAATAACCTTTTTTAACTTATAATCCACAAGGTTTAACCCAGTAATAGACAGAATTGCTCCTCAGTATTTCACAAAATTTTAAGTCATCTTATTTTTGACCAAGTAAAATACAAAAATACTCCATCAATTTACCAAATACTCTACTATTAAAATATATTATAATCCACTAAAAATTTCAATTAATATAGATTATAATCTTCAGGGATTTCCTCGCGGATAATAATCCATGAGTGGATTATACTATTTTTTAGAGAAAGAGTGGATTCTAGTTCAAAATTACCAAACATGCTTTTTCTTATATATCCTTTGTTTTTAGCCTAAATCGGAGCCCACTTTTACTCGGATGGTGTTGCGTAACCCTGACCAAATACAGGTCCATAGGAATTTAATAGACCCAGAAACCGAGCCTCAGCTAGGCAAGTTTAGCTCACGCACCCTGACTCGGACCGACACGAGAATTGTGAGAGCAGGGGTGGTGAAAACCTCAACTCATAATAAGTAAATGGATAAGCCCCCGTAGCCCGTAGTCAAAGCGGGGGCACGTGAAGAGGAAAATGAATTTGGTTTGTTTTGGAATCGGGGCTTGTGTTGGTTGAAGTGAAGCATTTTAAATTTATTATACTCTATTAATCTATTTCTTGTAAGGCTTTTCTTTAATGCATACCCTCCACATTATACCTACTTGAGGTACCCTTCGTTTATTTGAGAGCATGCTTACTTATTTAGTTTACTCCAAATCAAATTTTAAAACTTAAAATAGCTTAAAATAGTTTTAGCATTATTTGATATCATTAATATATATAGTTTGAGAGGTTTAAAAATTAAAAAAATAGAAAGACTTTTATAATAAAAGTTTTTAATAATATAAAATTATTTTTTAAATTTAGTTATCTAAACTTTTCTATGAAAAATTAATTGTTCTAACAAATATTCTTTAATCCCAGAAGGTTAGTGTTAGGGGCATAGCTCAGAGATGCCCACCATTTGATTGATAACATACTAATTATGATAATTTAAAGGGTATAAATGTCAAAATCATGTGTTATTAATTTATAAGTTGGAGTGACCTATCACATCACATCCATTCATTCCCTCTTGTTTGTTCCTATGCCGTTCGATTCGTCCCATCAATTGCAACATCGTGAGCGGGTTTCTTGAACAGCACGTGTACTGATACCTGCGCCCAACTATTCCCCTTTGACTCCAGCCTCACATGTATTCATTCTCATTGGATGACACATAATTAATTAGTTTATTTGATTATCTCTAGATAATGTAGTTAGTTTGTTAGTCGAAGAAGCTTTTTTGCTTTATTATTGGCTGGTGGGTAATTAGTTTATAAGATTGTTATATGGTAGGTAGTAGTTACTTTGGGGATAGTGATTCGTTGACCGCAGTAATTAAATTCTCGAATTATAGTACTAGTAAATTTGTCAAAAAATAAACTATTCGTACAACTTGTACAATGTCAAAACTTTTTGTTATGCTAGACACGAATTCGTCTTGATATTAAAGAATGTGTGATCATGTTTTTATTGTTATTTGATTTTAATTTCATTTTTGGTTGCTTAGTTTGTTGCAGAATCAGCTTCAAATTTATTGTTTGGATATCTGTCATTATATTATAGGAAATATATTTCCCAATTCAAATTTTGTGTTCAGTTAGAAAAATATA